AGAAAATCAGACAAATCACCACGAAATCTCCCTTAGGTGAGAAGATACGGGTTCGCACCAGCAAAGCCCCCGGCGAACCTCTCCGTAGTGTTCAGTTAAAACTCATATAAATTACAAAACCTCCCGATGGCAGCAGCAAAAACCACCAATAAAAAAGTAACAATAGAATATTTTTACGATTTATGTATGATTACATCGTTCGTGATCCTCTAAAGTTCAAAGGATCCTTATAATTTAATTGAAAAAAAAAACGCAATGTAACTATAAAAGAATTAGTTAAAACTCAATAACCACCAATCCAGACAGAGAGCCGGGGAGGAGCTGATGTAAAACGAAAATCTCAAAATGTTTCAAAAGACAACCAACAAAACGGAGTTGTCAAGTCAATAGAAGTATTAAGACCAAATTTTGAAAGATGAAAATGAATAAAATAGCAAAAGCGCCTAAGACCGACAAAGTTAAATAGCATGAAAACTCAAGGTAAAACCATCAAAAGTTAAAGTAAAAGTTAAAAATTAGAGTTAAGATCACAACGAGTAAAATAAATGTGTAAAATGAGAGAGTAAAATAATTAAATTTAAATAAATCAGAATTTTAAAATTAAAAAAAAATTAAAAGTTAAAATAGCAGAAGTGCATAAAACTGACCAAGTAAAAAGTAGTGTAAAAGTTCGAATTTAAAAACAATAAAGATTGAGTGATAGTTAAACGTTTAACGCTGTTTTTCAAAGCTCTGTCGCCAAGGAAAATAAAAAAAGTTACAGTTTAAGTGCCTCACACTTAAAGCAATGAGATAATTTCAAACTAAACATATAATCTTGCCATAAAGAATTATCTGGGCCTTCAAACGAACAAATAGCTTAAATGTTTTAAAAGTTATTAAACATTTTCAAAAATCACCAATTTGGTGACATTTTTCCACCTAGATGAAAATTATCAAAATCACTGCCTCATTCTCAGTTTTTGCAAATTTCATAAGTCCAGGTAATACAGCATTGAAGTAAGTTTTTAAATATTAAAAAATTAGGCCACAAACAATTTTCATTTTTGCAAAATTGTAGCTTTTTGCTATATTGACGCTTTGCGCCATTTTCTAAATAAGCGTACACAGCGTTGGCTTCAGATAGGTTAAACTCGACGTGAGTAACAATTGCAAACTCACAGCTGTTATAAAAATAACACATTATTCTCAAAAAAGCGTCATTTTATATTACGAGGGAGCCTACAAAGAAAATCCTTAATTTAAAATCACAATGAGTGAAACTAATAGGTAAAGTAATATCACAAAGTAAAGAAATATTCAAGAAACTCTTACTTTATTAAATAATCAAACTTGTTCTTTGCGAATACAAACCCATATACTGCTCTATCTACAAATTGTAAAACCACTTTACGTTCACCAAGGAAAAGCATAACTAATGAAAGCAGTATCTTCAAGTCAACCAAACAATTCATCAAGACGTTTTCATAATAAGTAATCAAAGAGGAAATTTCCAACTGAAACTCAATAGATCGATTTCTTGTAATGGGTGGATATAGATCAAAGTGTTAATGTTTGGATGCCATTAGATCTGCGTCAATTTAGATAAGCGACCTAAGTACTCAACAGAAACTCAACTCGATATAGTGGACAATCAATTCTAGCCAATAATTCGATTTCTTTAGGATATTTGAATTGAATAGCATATTAAAATGAACTTAATAGGATAGCGTATAACTGCTTTTAGTTCCCTAATGGCCATTTTAAAGTGCAAGGATTTTTAAAGGAAATAATGTTTATTATTTTAAGTATAGGTATTTATTTATATTTTTAGGATTTTAACATTTATATAGGTTGAGTAATGAAATATTTATATAGGATGTTAATATGTAAATTTAAATAAAGGGAATGGATTAGTTTTCTTAGACGAAAATCAGCGTAGTTTATAGATAAAAATAGTTATGATTATAAAATTCATTTTAAGGTTTTTTGAAAAAGAAATTCTGTAGCTCAGAGTTTATACATGTATGATTTCAGAAAAAAATTTATTTTTGAGTAAAAAAAAAACTTTAGTTTGAAACAAATAGCTTAATCGTATGAGATCCAAAAAAAATTAAGTTTAAAAAGTGAGAGACACAAGAGTAAGTAGGTCGGACATGCCTTATGCAAAATTTTATTCTAATTTTTATTTCAGGTTAAGAATAAAGCTGAATATAATGCTTTTAAAATGCATAATAAATTCCAATGTGCAACTTTTTTTTAAATTTTTTAATGATGTGCAAGTGTTGAATGTATTATAAGAAATATTTTTTTGTTCAATTCTTATAAGATTCTTATAAGTTCAATTAATAGTTTGTTATTTTCGGTCCAAATTTTATAGCCTGTTTGCGTAGAAACATCTATCTAAGAAACAGAGTTTTCACGCCGAGTATAGCGATAATTTCTGCTCTGGAAGAATATTCGGGAAATTAAGAACTAATCAAATTTTAAATTAATTCGGATAATTTTAGTCTGAAACATTTATGGAAAAATAAAACTATAAAAATATAGAAACGTAAATTATAGAATAATATAAACATGACAGAAAACAAACTCTTAGACAAAAATCAGCTTTTATTGGTAATTCTATATACTATTTATTACAAATACAGGACGGATGTATAAATTTACAGCATAAATCTGATAATTTATAACAGCTCAATTATATAATTCATCTATGGTATTTCAATTTCACAGATACGTACACATATTTTTTTTCACAACAATTATTTATGTGAGAAAGTATAAATCCATATTGGCCAATAAAACTTGGTCTACCAACATCCTACTGCGCACAATCAGCATTTCATTGAAATAATTTTAATCAGTTTAGTTTATTCTTCAATAAAACAGTTAGACCAAGAATATTAGTAATTAAAGCACTGAATAAAAAATTATATTATAAATTAATAGTTTGATTTGAAGAGAATAGTTTAAGTGTTCTTTAGGACAGAAAATGTATATACGTCATTGCAGAGAAATTTATGCGGGACCATAAAAATAAACAAAACATTATTACCTCGAAACATTCATTGCAAGAGATGTAAAACTATTTTATCAGTCATTACAAGGACCATCGAAATTGTAGCGTTTGTGAGACAACTATTTATAGTCCAGTTTGCTGCCTGGAAATGGACAACTAGTGAAATTTTTATTTTGTAGCATAGCTAACTTAACTGTTAGCAGACTAACTTAACTATTAGCAACTGTTAGCAATCAAACAAAAACAGTTAAAAAGCTCCACCTGGTTCGCGTTGTGTATATATCCAGCGTGTAACAGCTATAGGCATGCCCGTGTAAATGATGCCCTGGCAGGAATTTGTCTGGGAGCAAGAACAGATGGAGATCACTGAAATAGGATGGAGCATCCATAGGATCGAGACTATAGAGCAGATAAGTAAATATCACCCATTGAAATTTCTGTGACAGTTATTTTTCTGGAACTTACTTCTTTGCACGAAAGAGTGTTGTCCTGAAGTAACACTCCTATTTTTACATCGAAAGTTGTTCTCTTTCTCTCTATTCTTACACACGAAATAAAATTCCTTTCCTGGTATCACTTTTTTTACAGACAAAGACGCGTCTTTGACAGAAATAATATTACCCTGGTGCCATCTACAGGTGGTAGATTGCTGTTATATGACAGTCTTATAAGATTACAAAATAAAAGACTATAATAACAGTCTTTTATGATTTTCAGTTTAATCTTTTATGAAAACTTATTCCACGATATAAAAAGTGTTACAAGTACTGTGGTTCTAATGGTGGTGGTCTGTTACGTTGGTAATGTTACTCTGGCGCCATCTACAGGCGATAGATTGCAATAATATGACAGTCTTTTTATGATTTTGAGGATAATTTTTCATGAAAACCTATTCCATGGTATAAAAAGAGTTACAATTACGATGGTTCCAATGTTAAGAAATGGCTGAAATTTGATAACTTCCAAATATATCTTTTTCAATATATACTTTGCAGTATATCTCTGCAAGTAATTATGTTTTGCTTCTTTTACGAGCCATTTGGAACTCAATCTCTAGATGGCACTCGTGCATGTATCTATATTTAATTTAAATCATTTTATAAGTGTTCACGTTTGTAACTGCCTGAGTATCTGTAAATCAAGTGTAAAACAAAAGATCAGCTTATTACAGGTGATGATTTTGAAGCAAAAAATTAATTTATTGTAAAAAATTGCGGTATCTTATGAAGGTCTTCTTGAAATAGTGGACCAACTCAAAATTTTAAAAAATGCAGTTGCAATTAGCTTCATTTCTATATTTTATTTTATTTTATTTGATAACCATCGTTTAACAGCCAAACCAATTTCGGGTTTACGACTACCAATGTTCAACTCCATAGGTTTGCAATTTTGAACCCAATCCAGAAGACAAGGGAATTCCTGTATCAAGTATTGGGAGAAGCTCGCTTTCGTGGAGGACTTTCAGATGGAACTAACCAGCATTTGCTTTAAATGGAGAGGAAAACCTACCACGGTTAGCCTAACGGCAAAGGGAATCCCTTCCATGCGAGCATATCTGTCTAATCTCAAAAAATAGAACATATCCAGCTTATTTCTGCTGCCAAACAGTTTGTACCGCAAATAGGAGGATACGCCAGTTTGACTTTAAGACTCTGCACTCAACATATACTAAGCTATCCCATTAATCAAAAAAGCCTTCATAAGAAAAGCTATTTTTTAATTGATCTTATTGGAATTACTTTAATCATGCTGGAAGCCTAAGAAAACTAATAAAACGCATTGACCACTTTTAAGCTGTTTAAAATTATCGTTTTGCTCTCTTAAAGCCATGTAATTTTTACAAAAGTCATTCATATTTTTCGCTAGTTTTTGTATTGTGTATTTTAAAATTTTTCTTTGAGAAACATTTCTGTTAATTTTCTTCCTTTTTTGAATAATTTATTTACAAAAAATTTTTTTTTAATTTTTTTTTAGTAAAGAAATAAATATAAAGGCAGAGACAAAAAAGTTCGAAATTTGAAGAAAAAAATATCACAAAATTATGACTTAAATAAGTGCTTTTAAATTAAATTTTTTAGTTCACTATCTTTTTTATGTAAAACAGGTATGACTTTCGTGCTTATATTAAGAAAGTCATTCAAAATCATGCCATTCAATCTAAAATTATTTCGGAAGCAAAGTTATGTATGGCTATAAAATTTTCTGAAACAATCAGAGTCATTTTTTTTCCAAAACGAACTATCTACTATAAATCAAATGCCTGAATTATTTTTTATGGACTTATGAAAATTAGATTTGTTAGTTTCAAAACGACACGAGGTAATTTGTAATAATAACTCATTATAAAACTTTTCAGTGTAATAATTGTTCATAATAAAACTATTAATGTATCAATTTCTAATGACTGATGTTCTATAATAAAAATAGAAAATCATCAGGAATTTACTGGGAAGTGTAATTTTATATTTTGTCTATTTATTTATTTTTACAGCTTTTTAAAATAGAAGATCAAGTATTTTTTAAACTTGTTTCAAAATATTACCTTCTCAAATTATTAACTTTTAATTCAACCGTTAAATAGTTTGCAAGGTTTAATTTTTCAACAATAAAAGAGCCTTTTACGCTAAATACATATAGAAGAGTGGGGTAAGACTGGTTACCTCGATTGCGTCGAAATTAGTTCTGTTTCTAAGTAGAAAAACTCTGAAGTACACGTTACTAGTCAAAAAGGACCTACAATGTTGGCGTAAAATTGAACTTTTTACTGTTCTTTTGTTTTAAAATTGCCGTATTTATTAGCCATTACATCTATAAAAACTGTTCGTAGTTTACTATTTGTTTATTAAGAATTCATACCATAACAGACAAAAAGGATTTATACCTGTAGTTGCCCTGTTTTGGTACGTATCGATAATCTCTTCTCTCATGGTAAGACCAGATACCTCCTTATTGTGGTCCCCTTCAATTTGATGTGTGCCTCTACTGAGCTCACGAAAGCTGCAGTACAGCGGAAGAAGAAGATAACTTCATTACTTATGTAAATTACATGCATAATATTCTTGAATTGTCAGATAAAATAAAAATTCTGCTACTTTTCGCTGAAATTCAAGTATTTATAAATTTACCATAGAATTAGTATGTGTACCCAGTCTTACTTGACTGGATTTTTATAGAAATAAAATCTTTCATTAAAAAAATTGTGCATCTATGACTTTTTAGGAGTGATATATTGTATGCAACTAAACAATGAATTTCTTCATTAAACCTAACAATTTCTAGGTCGAACAGTTTTGCTCCAGCATGCCTTCGAATCTTAGCTAACCAGTCTTACCCCCCTTTCCCCGACAGAAAATAAAGCTTAAAAAGAATACTAAATAAAACTTTTCATTGCATACTTAATTTGTGCAGCATCAACATTATACGTTCTTCCACTTACCATTATGATTGATTCTGTTGTTCCTTAATTTTTGTTTTAAAAAAACTACTAATGAATAATGCTAATAATAAAAAATAATTACGATAGTTAAACATTTAGTTAGTCAACTTTGATCATATTGCGCGCTTTGTTCCCATTCAGAGTTACGTACGTGTAGTAAAAAAAATCTTATAAAAGTTTATGTCAAATGTGAAAAAATCTTTGATAGTTTAATTCCTTGCAGATGCTACGACTGCAAACACGGAGGTCTTAATTGTCCAGTAGCTATCTAATGCTGTTGTTTTACGGAAACTAGATCTATGCTTGTGGTCACTGACAGACTACTTCATCTGCTTGGCAATGTCCATCAGGAGCTGAGAGGAACAGGCGACCGTTTTCACAGGAGCACATGGCGTAGATCCCATGATAGGATTGACCTCCTCTACTGGTTGGTAAGACAGTCCGTAAATTGCGAAGAAGAACGTGTTCGGAATCAAGCCAGATCTGTGAAATAAAAAAGTAACTTTAAAACACTTTTTTTGCATGAGATTTTTAATAAAATGTGATGAAATCAATTTAGTCTCTCTAGCATTCTCAGAAAAATATGTTAGTCATTTCTAGCTTTTTCAACATACTAAAAATTATAAGAAAATTCAACATGACAAAAATTATAAGAAGGTGAAAAAAATTTTAACCTCCGGCCTGTCTATAATATTTTTAAGAAAATAGCACATGCATTTTTTCTCCATGTAAGTCCGAATAGTGAATATTTAAAAACGAATAACATAATAAATAGAAATACTAGTAAAAAAATATGTTTTATTGTTAATAAACATTTTAAGAGTTGAATCTGCCTGCTTTTGGATAAAAGAAAAATGCAAATTTTGAAACACTAAATGCAAAATAAATATTAAGCAGACATCGCTTAATTAATGAGACTTTTTTTAACTAGAAATCTATATTAACATCACGTCTTGAAGACTTATAACTTTCTATATTTTCAAACTGTATTTTTATTCTATTATGTTCATACATTGTAAAAATTGGATATTCGAACCTCACGAAACTTTCTTCGCTTTGACGAAATCATTTTCTGGTGTATATTCCTCGTGAACATTTTGTCTAAATGACGAAATAACTATCACTACTTCTTCAATGGATTTCGTCAAAAGTAAAAACATCTTTCGCCATTTTATTTTATTTATTTAAAAGACAAATTCGGGTGGCATAGTTAATCACTTTATCGTGAATACCATGTAGGTGAATCATCGCTACCCCTACAAGAACAGATGGAACGAAAAGATTAATTACATCCACGTCCGAAGCTGGATTTGAACCCGGAATTTTTCTGATATGAATCTAATTCCTTGACAGCGATGAAGTACCATGTTAAGGAAACATTTTTGTCAAGTATTTGAGAGTTCGCGTTTGGGATTTCGTGGCGAAAGGATTCTCAAAATTAACGATATACGATTCGAAACTATTTTAGTGCATTTTTACTCAATTTTGAGAACTCCTTTTTTTACATAGTAAGGTTCTGATTTGATGATCATTACAAAACGATTGTTTAAAACACCATAAAGAAATTCACCAACTATCGCTATGAATTTATCAAAACTACTTGAAAAATTACTATAGAATTGCTCATGTCTAATAGAGTAACTGACAAATATTCACTGCTATAAAAAAATTTCAAATAACATTAAAATCAAAGCAATTTTTTACTCGAACGCGATGCATGGTTTTCTTGCAAAAACACAATCAGAAATTTTACACAATAAAGCCACTAATGGATATTTGTTTTTTTCTTTTAAAGTTTTACAAAACACAGTACATTTCTAAACTTTAATGAATATTTTATATTTCAAAAAGAAGTGATTCAGTAAAATTTTATCTACACAATCTTGAAAATTATTACTTTAAAACTAATAATGACTGAGCTACATCTACCCTCTTGCAGACACACGTAGATAAAAATTATAGTCGAACATACCGCTCTATCAATCAATGTCGAGAGCTATATTGAGTCTTATGGGATGGCTGCAACGGTAAAATTATAGAGTAATCACCTTAACGTAAAATTATGGTGTAATTACGATAAAGCATGGATTTACTCATTACTTCTTTACTGCCTTGAAGTATATAAAAATGGAGAGTTACTTTTACTTCAAAAACGCAGGAAATAGTGAAATGTGATTAATAGATCAAATCTAGACTAAGTGCCGTGGATACACTGGAAAACCCAGGTTATGCCAACAAAAGAGAAATTTAATGATATCTTCTTTTTTTAGAAATGAAAAATTGATCGAAATTCATTTTTACTTTTAAACACTAGTTAAAATGTCGTGATAGGACATTTTGAAAAGCAGTGATATTATTTTCAAAAGATATGCATAAAACTTTTCATTTTGCAATGAAATGTCAAAATTGAATGATTAATTTGTTTTTAATTCAGGTATTTTAAGTCTGCCTGAACATAATTTGTTTATTAAAAAAGTACATACCATTTAAGCATGGGCATTTCATTTTAGATTACAGTTATTCTCCTGTTAACAGTAAAAGGGATGGCCCATTTCCCTGGGAAGTAAATTAATATTAACCTTTACTACGGTTTTTATTGTTAAATAGGGCTGCGAGCAATATTATTCTGATTATCCACATTTTTCCGAAGGGCCAATTTTACACAAATATTCTAAGCATTATTTCCAGATACGTACTTTACAAGTTTTCGGATATTCCATTAGATTACAGCAAAACACATAATAGTATCTAATTTTTATGTAGAAATTAGATAGTTTTTACCTTAAGCACTCCTTGAAAATGTGGTTTATGATTTTTCGCCAAGTAATGTCAATAATTATCGATATTTTTAATTTTATTAGAAAATTATTTGTTAAAGTGAGGTTATTTTAAGATCAGATAATATCAGATAATCAGATAATTGGTACAAAATATTCACAGTGATAAACTTAAAAATAACCGTTAGGAAAAATTCGGTAGGATTACGTCATTTTCTTCTTCACAAAATACAAAATGCTAGTTAGTTTTGTTGACGAACACAAATTTGTTGTGATGGAGGAGTCATGAGCTCCCCAGGGTTTTCAAAACTGTGAACTAATGTGTTTTATTTCTTTTATAAGTAATATTGCACAGCAGACCTATTTTCGAGTTTACTATTATCAATGTAACGATTATCAATGTTCTCTGTAACCTTGTAACTTTGAAACCAAACCAGAAGACAAGGGAGCTCCTGGATCAAGCATTGAGACAAACTAGTCTTCGCCGAGGACTTTTTGATAGAGCATTTACGCTACATGAACTACAAAAACTTTTCATGACTTAAGTCAAAGGATTCTCACCTATGGTCCATCTATCAATGAGAATATTTTACTTCAGCATTGTGGCCGGTAACAGAGTTCGTAGTAGTAGTAGTATTGCTTTATTTACGCCGCACTTGACTAGTCCTTTGGTTTATTGACGACGGTCTGGAAAACATGCCTGAACGTGATCCGAGGACATGGAATCACGATTTTGATCTCCTATAGAGATAAAGCTTGTCGCTTTGAAAGTCAAACGACATTCGTGTTGAGTCGAATTTTCCAAATTAGAAAAATTTAACGAGCCCCAATATTAACTCGTATCGACTATTCGATATAGACCAGAAAATGCTAGAATTCGAACCTGCGGTACCTCAATGGTAGCCGAAAGAAATATATTTTATTTTGTAACCGCGTCGAACAACTGACCCAAATTTGAGTTTACCATTATCAATGTTTAACTCCGTAGCCTTACAATTTTGAACCCATCCCAAAAGACAAAGAAACTCTTGAATCAGGCAGTGTTGAATCAAGCAAACTTCGTGGAGAACGTTTTGATTGAACTAACCTGCATTTGCTTTACATGGATAGGAAAGTCACAATGGCAGGGGTATTCTAACTCATGAACCGCCTACCAGTGTGAATATTTTACGCTGACACTGCGATCGGCTGGGAGCTGAATTCGAATCAAGCAGCCATCAATGATATTTCTTCAAATCCACTTCTTTTTATCTTATGACTGTCTCCGACTTTTCGGTCATTAGTCTACGAGCAGCCCAGAGAAGCAAAGGACAATAAAATAAATCTAAAGTTACTTCCTGGATAAAAAAGTGTCCGAATGTAATAAAATACAAAAATCTTTCCATCATGAATTTCAAAATTTTTATGAAACTAAAAATCTGGAATTGGAAAATTTACTTTTTTCTTCTAAAAAATTGCTATATCCTATTGCTATATAAATATTTTCAATCAATAAAAATTATGTGATTTGCAAATCTATTTTGTGTGCTTCATTTATTTAAAACTAAAAACAAAAGACAGTTTTGAATATTTTTATGTCACCCCTTTGTCTACTCTCTGGAGATTTCGAATAGAATAACTTATCGGAGATGAAATCAGAAAACTAATTCACTAAACTAATTACTTCCACTCCAACATTGCAAAGAATCGAAATCCATTCTGATATTGGAAATTAAACGGAAACTGATTGTACATTTCCAATATATCATGTTAAATCCGTAACAAGAACAACACAAAAGCAAGGCAATTCCAATATATAGTTAAAATTAGCAAACAAATGGACTTGTTAAGCCGAAAACCGATAATGATTTCAATTCGCGAAATCTTTTGGAACACATAGAGTGTTTAGAATTTAGAAAATAAAGATTTTGATTTTTCTCAACAAAAATAAAATATTATTAAGTCTGTTCCTTAACACTAAATTAGAGAAAATTTTAATATTCATATTTTCTAAAAGACAAGTGTTAAAAGTTTCTTTTAATAATTTTCAAAACTTACTAGAATTTCTTAAAATAGGTGTAACTGTCATTTTTTACAAATACCGTTCGTTTAATACATTTACATTTAATTAATTTTTCTTTAAATTGAAAAAATATTAAATTTTTTGACAAATGATTTCGTAAATGTGTAACGAATTTTTGTAAGCTCTTTCAAGTTTTAAATCTCGAACTTTCAGTTTTAATAAATGCATTACAAAAATTACTTTGAGTTTCAAATTCTTTTTAAGTTAATGAACAATGCACAATATAAAAGCAAACTTTTACATGTTGCTCTCAGAAATACTAGTTTTGGAAATTTTAACTTGAAGAAGAACAACTATAAGAAATATTAGCTCTAAGTCTTTTCGAATCTATCTTTCTCATTCATAGAGACCGAATCAAATCATATTAGAAGAAATAATAAAAATATTACAAAAAATAAATAGAGAAAGGTGACATTATCTGCCCTCTCAATTATCATTGCCTGGTAAAATTGTTTTTGGTTTCTGCTCAAAGTATCCCCAAATGTAGGTTGTAGTTTGAATTTTAAAAATAAATAGAAATATTGAACCACAGAAATATTGCGCTTTGACAATCTGTTGTTGGAGTCCTGGTGGCTCAGAGGATAGAGCGCTTGTCTCCTAATCAGGTGAACCGGGTTCGAATCCCATCCATTGCTGGTCGATACGAATTCCGCATTTGGATCGCTCCGACCACAATGCTGACGTAAAATATGCTCAGTGGTAGATGGATCATGTATATCCACTTGCCGCTACCTGCGGAAAGTTTTCATGGTTTTCTTCTCCATGTAACGCAAATGCGGGCTACTTCCATCAAAAAGTTCTCCACGAAGTCAAATTTCTCCCAATCTTCTCTTTTGTTCAAAATTACAAGGCTACGAAGTTGAACATTGGTAGTCTTAAACCCGAAATTCTCTCGGCTGTTCAAAATAAAATCTGTTGTTGGGGGTAATTATATGCGGTACATTAACAGCGTCAAAGTCGTACGCGAAAACTACTATAACCGTTCCATTTCTGGAGTTCTTATAAACTTCAAACGTTTGATTAGAATTTCGGTTTTGAAAACACTGCATTTCATCACGATAATGCTGCGTAAAATAGCCAGCTCCTGTGCAGCTCTTCTTTTGTCGGCATTGCCCATAAGTACGATATTTCCTGAGCGAGTTTATTCCCTTTGAGGTAAGGAGACAATATAAAATGAACATGTCGTAAAAGCGATATTATTCGGTTCTGTTACAGGGTGTTTTAACCAGTGTATCACTACTAAAGCTTCAATACATAAAATAAAAATTATAATTAATAAATTAATAAACTTAGAGTTTTTGAGACATTATAAGATTGAGCAAGATTTAGTTTAATTCGACATTTTGCTAGATATTAGCAATAGTACAGAATAAAGGGTAACGATTTATATCGAATTATACGAATATTTAATTTTTATTTAATTAATGTATATTAAAACACAATATGAAGCATTATTACCTTATTTTAACTATCAATTCAACGCTTTTAAATTATCTAACTGAGAGTTAGATACCAGGAACTCTCATTGAAATGACTAAAGAGATAACTTGAATTTTAAAAAGAAAGAGAAAAAACCATTTATAAATTTTATAACCAATCAATACTGTAAACAATTTAATAAAAATTATCTGCTCAACTCTCTCCTCTTTTTTAAATTTCATACAGCAAATACGACAAAACAAATAAAAAAAATCTAATAGATATCTTGATTCGTCGTTACTCAATATTGTGACTTAATGCTTTAAACAATAATTTGAATATTAAAGTGAAACCTTTTGATTCAGTTATTTAGAATTATCTATTCATCTTACTTATCTGACCTTAGTTATTATGGTTGAAAAATCGCAGTATATAACGTAACAGTGTGTTATGATTCGCAATTATTTACATGAGATGCAATTATTTTCAGAGTTCTATAGATGAGCTTTGAAGTCAAAATATCATTTTGAGAAAGATCTTTGAAGTGATACTTACACTGCCTTCTTTTGATTCTAATTTGAAGTCTTTAAGGCAAGTAGCGCTGATATCCCCTGCCCGAGATTCAATGCCTACACCTTCTGGAGCAAGAACTCTCAATTTTCTTGTAGGTGATTCTAACCTGTTAAAATAGAAATAACTTGCTTTAAATCAGAATGCAATACATTGACCAGAATGTTCAAAGTAAAATGAACGTAATGAGCACAAATGAACAGATTTATAAAGCAAGACACTTCGTTTAATAAATATTATGTAGAAGTAAAAGTAGAATATTGTTACACAGATCAAACTAGCTTTTTTTGCACTCGGTTAGAAATTTCTCGGAAAAAATGGTTAAATAGCAATTTATTTAATTGTTGTTTTACCATATTCAAGCGAAATAGTCAAGTTACCATAAATAAGATGTTATTCAAACTGTTAACTGTCAGAAAAATCGTTTGTTAACTTTCACCTAATGCAGTTAAACAAACAGAATTTTTTCGTACCTGCATACCCACCTAATGAACCACTTAGTACCCTGCAGCTAAGCTCATATTAGAGCTGAGAGGGCCCAGCTGCATGACCAATAGAACGGGGGTTCGAGTCCTAGAATTGACACCACAATATTCCCTACATTCCCTTCAACAGAAAAAAAGTTTCCAGTGTCCAGCTCTCCCCAAATTGTGATATTGCACTATTAGAATACGGTAATCTCATTCACGCATAGATAGCAGTCCCAAAAAGCTGCTCAGCACAAAAAAGTCTAGTAAGTTTCTTATACGATTTAAAAACCATGCTAGTTGCAAATGGTAAAGAAACCGTATAGTTCTGTATTCGGTTTCTTAACCATCTTAGTTGTAAAAGGTTTCAAAACCGTATAGGTAATAAATGTTCTTTACCGGAAAATTTACAGTTAATTGGAGGAACAGACTATTGCCGGTTATTTTACTGTAATTTTATGATGAAAATTCTAACAGTGCATGTCCAGTCTAAGTTAGATGAGTCAATAGCAAATTGTAAGCAATGCTTATAGTTTTAAGTGATGTGATGTTATTGGTATAATTTTCTCAAAGATTTTGAAATTATCATCATTTAGATAAATTGTGATAAAAAAAAAATTAATCAAAGGAGAGTATCTGGATAATATTTCCAAAGTCTTGAATGTCCTGGGGGTGGAGGGGATCATTATTTTACTAAACTATCAGAAAGTATAATGAGATGTCTTCAGTCGATGACAAAAGGAGATCTGGCAGACTATGGTCTGGTCGAGAAAAGAAATAGGGAAAGGGTCAAGGAAAAGATTCGGTGAAACGGACAATGATCAACAAGAAATCTAGCCCGAGAGTTTAAAATATTGAGAGGATTAATGTTACATATTCAAAGGACAGTGGGTAAAAAGTTTATAGAAAAACCGAAATTCAAAGATTTTCAGAATCTGTTAAGATGAAAAAGAAGCAGAGGGGTGAAGAAATTCTTGCATGGCATGCTATGGACGAGTGTGACTTTTAAGACGAGAAACTATTGTTTTTACTGAAAAGTCTTAACTCCCAAAATAATGAAATGTTTTCAATTTCTATTAAGGGAATGCCAGCATTATGCTCCGCGTTATCAAAATGTGATTGTTTGGGGGAAGGCTATTTCAAAAAGAAGTGAACTCCCGTTTGTTTTCATTGAAAAGGTGTAAAAATCAATGCCCAATATTAAGAAACTGTGGTTTTGGAAAACAATTACTGCCAAGTAGAGATAAAGTGGAATAATTTCGCTTACAGCAAGATAGTGCTCCTTCCCACACGGTATGTGTAGTTCCAGTAAGCATTCAGTTGACTTTTTTTCAAAGAATGAATGGCCTCCCAGCTTTCCCGATCAGAACTTGCTTGCTTTTTTTGATAAGTGCTCTAAATAATTAAAAAATCCCCAATCTGAGCGAATGAGCCGTGGTGGCTTAGGAGATAGAGCTTTCGCCTCCCAACGAGGTGATCTGGGTACTATCCCAGCGATAGTTGGTGGATTCGAATTCCAAACTCGGCGAGCACCGACTACAGTACTGACGTAAAATATCCTCAGTGGTAGACGGATTACGGGTTAGAGTCTCCTTGCCAACAGGCTGACAGTGGGAGGTATTCGGGGTTTTCCTCTTAATGTAACGTAAATACGGCTTAGTTTAATCAAAAAATCCTCCACGAAGGCAAATTTCGCTCAATACTTGATCCAGGAGTGCCTTTGTCTTCTGGATTGGGTTCAAAATTACAAGGCTGCGGTGTTGAACATTAATAGTCATAAACTCAAAAATTGGGTCTGCTATTCAACGACGGTTATAAAATATAAAATAAAATAAAATCTGAGCTAATTCAAAAATGTAATTTTAAAGATATGGCAAATAATTCCGATGGAAGCCGTGTGATAGATTTGAAAAGAGACTTTAGCTTGTTAAAAAAGTAAAGGGCGAAATTATTCAGAAGCATTTATTGTTAAATCACTAAGTGATTGCTACTTTAATTTAATTCAAAAGTTTTGGGTAATTTATTTTGTATTATTGCACTAAAAATGTAAAAGCGTATTAGACCTTATTGCACACTGTATATACGTATATCTTTTATTATTTCAAATAAAATTTTCTGAAACATTTATCATTATTGGCTTAAAATGAACTGAACATTATTTGAGATATGCATTGACATATTATGTAGAAATGAATATTTTGCACTATCTCCAAATTCCATCTGTCTCAACTATAACTATATATTGAAATAAATTATATTTAATAATTGTTTATAAATCTTCGTAACACCCTAACATCAATTGAAGGAATATGAAATATTTAACCATATAAATGAAATGTGTTCAGATGGCTCATAATTCAAATTAACTAAATTATAACTATCTCAACTTTTATTGAAATAAATCATATTCAATAATTGCTTATAAGGTCTGACTATTAAATGAATATATTCAAAGCTATAAAAGTAAGTAATGGGTTGCAGACATTATCAAACATTTAAAATTGCTCTTTCGAAGCGTATTGAATAGCTATTGTTGCCTCAAAAGCAAGTAAAAGACATTCCGTTTTAGTTCAGCAGACATTTATTTAGCTTGGAAATGATATTTAACTTCCCCGCGTTACAAGCGATAAACGGAATGGATTAGATTTATTACGATTAATTTTATTGTGAATTTCGGATAGCTGGGAGTTGATAACTACTCTTAAAACCTATTGATTGAAGAGACTTGTAAAAATTTCTGCAAGAACTGAATGTTTCAATGGAAAAATTGCTTTGACAAAAAGCATTTTAACTATTATAATGAACATTAGTCGGAGTTTTCGTAAACATTTCTACGAAGTGTTTTAATAATCAAGTTTATTAGTCAATATAAATGAATGTCTATGTGTCTCTGTTTGTTTGTCTTTTACGACTTAAATAACCGTCCGACAGAGAATGATGAAATTTAACATACTGATAGTTCGAAGAACGGAGAAGGTCACTGTCCACATTCGAACATTCTACTACAAACAGTTAGAGTGGAATGAGACAAAACTGAATCTAAATTTTCTAACTGGTTAAGCGTTAGCCATTGTTTTAATTTTAATTATAGACAATTCTATTTTTTTCAAATATTTTAAAGATAACATCAATAATATTTCCTTGATTATAGCTATATTTTATTAAAAAATGTCTATTGCACGTACTTTCATATTCAACTAGTTTTTATTCTATTGCCATATTATTATTATTGACGCCAACGATGCTTTGGTAATATAGGTAGGTATAAATTGAAATAAAAAAAGCTATGAACTAAAAAGCGAAATTTATCGATAAAGGTATTTTTTCTTATACAAAAGTAGGCGACCTTTGTGCTAAAATACAAACTAAGGTAAACAACGTTAAAGAGCACAAAAATATTATTAAAAGCTGACAGCTGTTTCGGATGCTCAAAGGGCAACCTTCATCAGTGCAACAGAAAGGACTTATGAACTGATGAACTTTTCTGTTGCACTGATGAAGGTTGCCCTTTGAGCATCCGAAACAGCTGTCAGCTTCTAATAATATTTTTGTGCCCTTTAACATTGTTTACCTTAGTTTGTAAGGTATTTTTTCGTTTAGAGAAAATTTTACTTATAAAGATACAAATCAAGTATCCACACTAAACAATCAAGGTGACAAAAGAATCTAGAACTGATCAAATTTTGTAAAATAAAAAAACAACAATATTTCCTAAAAGTTCGAAGACAGTTACTCATTTAAATTGAGATAATTTAAATCTCAACTAATCGTCAGATTAATCGAAGCTTAATGAAAATAAAACGATAAGCTTTCATTGATAGACCACTAGTGGGGGCGTTAACGTCCGGTACAGGTACGCAATTGGCCATACGAATTGAAACTGAGTCGGATGACAAAAAAGCCATCACACAATCACAAAAATTCGAGATTTAACTGCAAAAAGCATGCAGTGCAAGTCCTTATGGTACAAAATGCACCATATTTTCATTACCGATGTTTATGTAAAGTACTGTTGCCCGGTATTCCTTACAATTGTTGCTTTTGCATAATTTAAGGTCCATTACCCTGTATGCTGCTCTTGCCCGGTATTCTTTATATCATTGGTTAAGGTAAAGTAAAATTGAACAGTATGCATTTGTCCGGTGTACGTGTCTTTTCTTAGTAATTTCTAAACAGACAATTTTTCTAATATGAAAGATGTAAAATTTGTAATTATCTGCAGACCATAAAAATCTATCCTAAAAATTAGAAAAAATTAATGAATATATGTAATAATAAAAAATAAGAAGTAATGCAAATAATGACAAACTTTGCATTGATTTACGTTTTAAAATGCATTTAGCTATCATAAAGGTAATATTTTATTTTTGATTTCCCAAATTTTGAAATCGAAAACAAGCTGTTCTTGTTGTTTTAGCTGTTTTTATTTCAAGAAGAAGGCCAGTATGTATCTAATACCTTCTTTCATCTTTAAATGGTATAGAGCAGTTCATTTCTAAGGGGATGCCGTTTGAAGTTGAAGGACTAAAGTTGCACGCTTTTGTCATTGGATTTTTACAGAATATCATATTAATTTTGTCTCATATTAATATTAAGAGCATATAATTTCAATTTCGAGACAATTAAAGCTATGCGATAAGTTTAATCGAAAGCAGTTTCAGCAGTTTTAATCGAAAAAACGTGCTAAATTCTAAAGTACATTGTTTGATCGGTATTGATTGTATGATTCATAAAAATGTCTAAAATATGTGTTTATCCACTTCAAGATTTTTCAGAATTTGTTCTTTAGTTTTCAAAAACGTGGCATTCGAAAAAAATTTGTTTAACTAAAATATTGAAAATCTTTATCAGGTATATATTTGTAAAATATTTTACAAATTTCAGAATCAAGTGCAGATGCAAATAATGAAAGGGTAAACATAAAGTCAGTGCATCATTGCACACTTTAAACTTAAGTGATAATTCAGCAGCATCAAAAAATGTGTTTAAACTGAATCGAAAATAACTGTATTCACTTTTAAAAGGCAGATAATTTAAATGGTGTGTATAATGTTACAAAATATACCCTAACTGTGACTTTTGAAGCCAAACAAAACATTACAATCATGAATCACAACCTAACGTATTTATCTCTCGCTGCAACACAAGGTCACGTGATGAATCATAATTATATGTTATTGCATTGAGTCTGTAGATGGCACGGTCCAATGCAATAACAATTTCATTCGTGACATATTCACACGCAAATATAGCCGTAATAACGGTTCGTGGATATTATCGAAAGTTATGTATGAACGGCAATATACGTTTCATGACACATGTCATTCAATTACAGCTGACGGCTGACACAGCTTGCAGAGGTCAATAGTGCTTCCATTTCCCTTATTGTCAGCATTAATGTCAACTATTAGATAACGTTTAGCTTTTCTATAGAATATGAATGCATTGATTCATTTCCACAGTGTCTTTATTCAGAACCCTTATTGAAATTAAAATAATGTAAGGCTTCGAAAACTACGTTCTTGAAGTAAATGAGAAAAAATAATTCAATCTGTGTCACACTTAAATGAAAAAAAGCTACGCTTATCACTTTTAAAAGACGTGTGGGGTTTGCGATAATTTTCGGCTGTAATAAATGGCAAGAAAGTGATGAATATTACTTTTTTCCCTTGAATTGAGGAAGGAAAGTAAATATATTTTCTCTTTTTTAATCCACTTGAAAAACTTAGTTTTTAAAATTGCATTTCGTCATTTCCTTCTTTTTAATTACTTGAATATATGAATGTTTCTGTCACTATATGCTCGAGATTTCAATATTGGTCGAGTTAGTTCACGGGAAATCAAACTTTCAGTGAAAGACTTCCTTAAACCTGATTATACCAGAAACTATTCAGCCGATTTTGTTTAAAGTTTGTACTTCGTCAGTAATAAGCATTAAAGTTCTATTTTTTATTGAATTATTTTTTACATAAAAAAATGTTTCTGATAGTTCTAGAGATATAGAGAAATACACGAAAAATAAGAATTACATTTAGGGTTCTAAATTTTCCGACTGCTCTCCTGCCTTAACTATAGCCTCAAAATACTTCAGTCAAAAATAGTCATCAAATAGGAGTCAAAAATGCTAATTCGTCGAAAAAGATAATTTTATTCGGAGATAGTAAGCTTATTCGTCCGATTTCGTAACTTAACAGATCACGTGCACTGGTTATTAAGTATATCTAAGGTTATCTCGAACCATTAAGCTTCAGTCTCAGTACGTGAAAATCCGATCATCAGATCACAGGTTATTTCGGGTGTAATTTAGTGTATTTGCGCACTGTAAAGCTGGAATTATTAGGAGTTTAAAGAGAAAAAATTTTTCCTCCCGAAAAATTTCCCCTTAGGTTTTATTAAGTACACGTAATCGAAAACGAAATATACGCGAAATGCACTAATTATAATACAAGTTATACTTCGCTTTGTTAAACTGCACGTTGTTGTAAAACTAGACTCGGAACAGTTTAGTTTTTTTCTCCTTTTTTTTGGATTTTTAAACTTAAACTTACTAGTTTGAGGATAAAAACTTTGAACGATCGATATTGTGAATTTAAAAATATAGGGTAGTACCCTATATTTAGCCCCTTGGAAAGCCCATGTGCTTTCCAAGCCCTAAATTTGTAGTGGGAATTAGTTTCCAGTTACAAACTTTGCAATTATTTGAATCAAAATTGCAATTATTATCGCACTCAAAGTAGAAAAAAATTAATTAAAATCACACTCATGCAAGGAAAAAAAATCTAATTCTAATATTTTGATGCTAAACCATTTTCATAGTAGATAAAATTTTTGTTAATGTAAAACAAAGTGAACTAAGGGTGTAAAAATGTTCAACAAATCTAAGTTCAAAAACTTACTTTAATTGTCTGGATGGCTCCGATTTAACTAGTGGAGTTTGTATAGAACCATCGAAAATAACACCGCCGTCTCCTAAAAGGGAATAGACAGAAAAAATAATCATTTACCGAAACAGTAACTCATTTGACTTAAAAGTACGTGAATTTCTACTGCAATATTATAAAAATAGCATTGACATCTAAATCCAACAGTACTTAAACATATTTTTACTTGAAATACACTGTAAAAAATATCGTTTTTTTTCGGAATTTCACCGTATATTTATTGTTTAAAGCTGTTTTGTTGACTAAACGGTTTTTCTCTGTTTTTCAGTCTTATCACAAATGGATAAAAACCGTCATTTGAAATTCTAGTTTTTGACATGCAGTTTTCCGTTTCGTATTCTAACTTTACCTTAACTATACCAATAAATTTACGAATATTTTCTATACTTGATTTTTTAAGGCAATGATTTTATAGTTTCGAACATCGTATAAATAAAACTGTGATTTTACTTTCTGCTAAATTGATACAATACTGAAGCGAAACTCTTACTATCACAATTTTTCATAATAAAACACTTAAGCCGAAGTGACTTATGGCACACAGCGCACAGCTCCCAATGAAGTGACCCAGGTTCGAATCAAAGCGATGACTGATCGATACAAATTCTGCTATCAGAAAATATTAACAACTGATGCGAGAACAGATTTACTTCATAACTTTCATAGAAAAAAACTTTTTTTCCTTTTGCATTTGGTTAAAGTCTGTTGAGACAGCAGAGACTTCTTGTTTTTGTAATAGAAACGTGTTTCGTCTCTGTAATATATATATATATAGGGAGAGGGAGAGAGAGAGAGATAAAACAGTCTAAATTACGAATTTCTTTCGTAATTTTTACAGAAAAAACCTGTTCTTGTATGGTTAAAATCATTGTAGCAACTGATTAACTTTGTAAGGTTTACGGATTTGCACAAACTCATGGGCAGATATACCATAAATTTTACGGGATTATTTTTACAGTATACTAACAATTCTCATAAATTAATTAAAAAATATTACACAGAAATTTAAATATTATTATACTTTATTAATTTAAATATTATAATACATTCGAAAAGAATTCATTGATAACACAGGCCTGCGATGAAAAAAATACAAGAAGTCTAATAGCTGAACTTAATGTATTTTTTGGTGCTGAAATGGAAAATAATAATGAAAAATGTCCATCACGTCACGTTTTTTAGAAAAATTCAATTTTTATGAACATTTACCATAAAAAAATTTTCATTTTTGAATTTCTTCCCTTTTTGATGAACCAACATTCTACTTTGGTCAAATCTACAAAAGTACCCCTCTATCACTACTTCCTGTCACCGTCCCTCTCTTTGTAACAATCTCTCTCTACAAATAGGGTAGCGAGAGTCCTCATCTAGGTTCGCTGATCTCTCAGAAACACTAGCAAGCGTTATAGGGAGTCATTTTAAAGTTTGCTTTTTTCTTTGCGTTTCGTGAAACATGGCTTTGAGTTCAAGACATTGTGAAAATTTTCCAAGTGACTTTTGTTATACATGCGGCGAATATAGTGCTGTTAAAAATCGCATGAGGAGCAATTCAGACTATGTAAGATAACATTATCTCGCTTACTTTGACACGAAACTCTTGGATCAGGACAAATCTTGGGCACCTCATAAAGTTTGTGTGCAATGTCTCAATGATCTACGCTTATGGCATCAAGGAAAGAAGACTTCTTTACGATTTGGAATTCCTATGACGTGGAGGGAGCCCCAAAACCACTTTGATTTTTGTTTTTGTTCCTGCCATGTTCGTGGGTATAACCGGAAAAATCAAAGACTAATATCTTATCCAGGTAGTATTCCATCGGCTATACGCCCCCCGTTCCTCGTGAACCTGATGTGCCTGTACCTTTGCCTTCGACTGAATTACCAATCATCTCTTCAGAGTCTTCAGACTCGGAACATCCAGAAGTTCAAGGCTCCGATATCGAATATAAACCATCTCCAGCCGGTTTACCTCAGCCCTCCTCTCAGATTGAGCTTAATGATCTGACTAGAGATCCTGGCCTTTCGAAAGAGGCAACTGGATTGTTAGGCTCCAGACTGAATGAAAAAAACTTATTGGCCAAAGGAACATCTTTTTATTGAAACAGGAAACGTGAAAAGTAATTTATTAAGTACTTTGATGAGGAGGAGAACTTGGTCTATTGTTCTGATGCTCCTGGAATGATGAGAAATTTAATGCCATCTACAATAAAGATAAGTGGAGGCTGCTGTTTATAGATTCATCTAAAAGAAGCCTCAAAGCTGTTCTTCTTCATCATGGGAGCCAGTATGCATCAGTACCAGTTGAACACTCAGTATATTTAAAAGAATGCTACGAAAACCTGGCTCTCGATCGGAACAAAAGAAAATATATCGGCCACAATTGGACCATTTGCGGTGATTTGAAAGTTATCTCCATGCTTCTTGGTCAACAAGGGGGATTTGTAAAGTACCCATATTTCATTTGTAAGTGGGTCAGCCGTGACAAGATCCAACCTCCGAAAAGACATAATCTTGACCCAGGCACCAAGAACGTTATTCGAAACGGGTCAGTTGATCCGAAAAAAGTATTGTTATCTCCGCTACATGTAAAATTAGGTGTAATGAAGCAGTTTGTCAAGGCTGTTCTAATAGATGGCAATTGTTTCAAATACCTGTGCAAAATGTTTCCATGTTTATCCCAAGCTAAGTTGAAAGATGGGATATTTGTTGGTCCAGATATTCGCAAACTCATGAAGGATAAAGAATTTGAGACTAACAGAAACGTAAAAAGAAGCTTGGGTTGCTTTCAAAGATGTCGTCAGTAAATTTCTGGGTAATTACAAGGATCCTGATTATAAGGAAATTGTAATGAAAATGCTGGACAAATTTAAAACGTTGGATAGCTCCATGAGTGTGAAAATGCATTTCCTTCACTCACATGTGGACTTTTTTCCTGAAAATTTAGGAGCAGTCAGCGAAGAACAAAGGGAATGGCTCCATCAAGATATCAGAGATATGTAGCTTAAATATCAAGGAAGATGGGACAAGAACATGTTCGCTGACTACTGTTGGATGATAGCTCGGGATAAACCTGAGATTAAGCACTAAAGAAGATCATCAAAAATAAGTTTCAGAGAATAACGAGTATATACTTAAATAGAAACTTTTCTCCTTTGTTTTTTTCTTGTTTTGTTTTTTGTTTGTTTTGTTTTTTGTTTCAAACTTTTATATACACATACACAGTATTTGTTATTCTTGGTTAATCGTCAATTTTATGTAAGTTATCTCAATAAAAACAAATTAAAAGAGTATGTTGGTGATTTTCTTCTAGAAACTGATGTAAAAAGTTTGAACACAAGGAACTTATAGTTTTTATCTCGAACAGAGGTGACTTCTGCGGCCTGGTTACAATATTTTTTATTCATTTTAACCTATAAAAAATTAGCTGATAGCTCAAACATCAATTTTCTTTCCCAAGATTATATTTTACATAGATCAAAATGAATGAAGAGAACAGTTACCGGATAGTACATGCAAAATTGTTTGAGAGAATTCCTTTCCAAATAGGATTTTAGTAAAAACATTAATATCGATTTTATAAAAAATCCTGATGTGATTGGTAAAATTGAAGGTCATTTTCGAAATCAGCACATGAAATAACATATAAATCAATAAAAAGTTCTCCTGTATTTTTCAAAAAGTTCAATTTCGCAGGCTTGTGTAATTTTAAGTTTATCAAAAATCAAGAGAAATATTTTTCAAACAGTGAAGTTTTAGTATTTCCTTGATTTAAAAAGTTCCTTTAATTAATCATCTTTGAGTCCTTTTGGTTCAAAAATTTCCTTGATTTTGTTTTTGATAATTTTATCCTTATTGTTGAATCCTTCATAAGGTATAGTTTTGTATTTCTACATTTTAAACTAAATATACTTCTAAGCCTAACCACTACTGTACTAATGGTGCCTAAATTACACTGAAAAGAGAATTTTCCAAGATATTTAAAGATTTTTTTTTTCTCTGCCTTAATTTGATTGCTAGGTAACATAGTTAAAATTTCGTATCGACGGGAAAATCAAAGAATTTCATCAAACTCTTCTTAGCCGCTTAGAGAGCAGAAAAATTTGATACATTTTTCTCAGAATGGTGGATTATTTAATAAAATTTTTTTTAAACACTACAATGTTCCATAAATGCTATTTAATCGCTCACTTTCATAACGCATTGATGAATGAGCAACCAAAGTATATTTCTGACTAACGTTTGTTGCAATGATCGTAGTTTTACGTAATAGGAACAAATCTTGACGATTTCAAAGATTGATGTCAAAAATTTCCATTAACTAATGTTAGCCATCAAATAAGTTATTAAATAAGACAAAAAACGTACACTTTCTCTGATTAAACATAACTTTTTTTAAACAGATTTGGATACTTAGCCAGCAAAATATAAGTGGCAGCCTCAATCTGGAAAATATGGTCCCAATCTTCGAATCAAAACAGCAATTGAACATTCGGGTTCCATAAAACTGAAAGCAAAATCTTTGGAGTATTTTACTATATTTTTGAACTGTTTAAGCAAATAAATAATTCGTCCCACAAAATTATAATAATAGCAATCCCGTGTGAGTAAAGAGGTTCTCCTCTTTTAATTACGTTCGAAAAATTTTGAATTAGAAGATATGCATCGATTACATGCACTGATTTTTTTTTATATCAAAATGCAAACAAAATCTGTTGAATAGTTCACGAGTTTAAAAACTTCAACAACAAAAAACGAATTCAAAATTTCATTTCTTAAGAAATATTTGGACAACAGAGGTAAAAAATGCGCATATCTGTCAATCCAAAAAAATTTTAACCGTAACTATATTAAAAATACAAAATAATAAAATTTTTTATATAAAGGAGTCTTATGATTGTAAAACGTTTTTTATTCGCCTTCGTTTCCGAGTTGGGACAAAAATCAATTCACTTTAAGGGGTATAAATTTTCGACTACTTTCTTCTCTGAACAATTTATATCAGTATTTTTCCCAATTCTTTGATGTTCAAAAATCCAAATTTGTTGTAAAAAAGGTTTAGAAAAGATACATTTTTGTATCTGGTTTCGTCATTTATATCCCTAGCTTCGTTAATTTATTAATTGAAATCAATCTTTTAAACCATTGAGATTGGAGCTAAGTGAGTGAAAATCAAAGTATTAAAATAAAATTCTTCCGAGAAAAAAAAATTTCCTTTGCTTACTGTACAATTACGAGAAATGAACAAAATAAATATATAATTGCTGATTTAAAAAATATATATAGCTGCAACATTTATAACGACAGTTAAAGAAAGAAAGAAAATAGCCGAAATTAGTTTTCCTTATCTCCGAATTCTGAGCATCGCCGCATAATTATAAGCTCTTTCATAAACCTGTTTGAAATACTTATGCGTCATGATAATAAGAATCTATTCACACCAACATTATTAAGTGAAAATCTTAGTTTAGAAATTTTGCCCTTTTTAAAAAATCCTGTTTCTCTAATGTTGAATGCCTACACTTCATTTCATTTTATGATGGAAAAATATATAAATCTATCTCTGACATTAATTACTAAGTATTGTCTCTAATTATGTCTTAAAATTATTTACCTGAAACTCGAAGTCTATTCGCTGCCATGATGACTTCGTCTTCATTAATTTTTAAAAGAACATCTCCATTTGGCTTCTTAACTATAAATTGTGAAGTATAAACATCTAATCTTCCATCACCTGCAAGAATTGAAATAAGTAGATTGCAAGTAATTCAAATGTATGTACACATAATATTTTATAAAGTTTTAATGAACTAGTTAAACGAAATAGAATTGTACCTAAATTTAGTTTACTTGTAACTATTCCTTTCGAATTTCTTGTATTGATTGTGATATTTCTAGAAGATTCAAACCACAATGGTTGATCCTAAAATAGAAGAGGAATTCTTTTATATAAACTTATGAATAAAAACTAAGAGGACAATACTTTGAAACTTTAATCTATAGTTAAAGTTTATACAGTATTTTAACCCTTGATTTTATTAATATAGTTATACGTAAAACAGTGATAAACACATGAATTTTGGCTCTGAGTTATAATTGATAGCTTACTCATGGTTGTTTTTATTAAAATAACTATTTGCAAACAAACATTTCATGCAATCAATGTCTATCACCACCAAACATTTCTACTGTGATATGATGATAGGATGTATAAAGGAATGAGAATTATTTTTTTCAGAATGAGACTTCCACTGTAAGCACAAAGCTGCAATTACAGTTTCAGCCCTGTAGCTAATCAGAAAAAGATAGAAGATTTAAATAGCAATAAACTTTACTTAGCGATGGGATCATGGGATGAACAAAGAGACGCCAAACACACATATTTTTTAAGGATCCTAAAACATCAAGACTGCAGGCCAACTTCTACTTAAATCAATTTTTAACCGGCCACGGCGCATTTGTCATCCATCAATCAAGATTTTTTAGAAAATCCTCAATTTGTACTTATTGTGACTCTCATCAAGATACAATACACTTGATTTGCCACTGTCAAAGATTTCATGCACAGCGTGGCACGGAATTCCAGAACGAAACAGAACATCAACCATTCTCAAATTTGACCTGCAGAAGAATTATCAAAGAAATCATCAAAACTACACTTGAGGACATGTTAAATCCACCAGATTCAATTAACAATGTAACCTAGCTGTCACTCCACCGTGTCAACACATTCTTTCAACTCATCTTACAATATATGTTTTAGTCAGACTCTCTGGTTATCCATGTCTTTTGAACCTTTTAGTATTTTAAACTATTTGTGATTCTCATATTTTGCTTCAATTTATCATATTTATTTTCTGATACTTAATTTTGGAGTTAAAATGAATATTAACTTCTGTGCTTTAGGTTAAAGTTACGCTAATTAGGTTCGGTGCTTTTTGTTAAAGGTGTTTTACTAAGCCTTTGTATTTTTGTTTTAAATTTTAGCGATGAATTCCCTTTTCAGCAACTAGAAAATGATTGAAACTTGCTCCTAATAATATTCTAAGTCACGCTAATAATATTTCGATGTAACGTTAAAATGGAACAAAATATCTCATAGAGACTTGTCAGTCCCTGTCATATGACTTTCCATTTATGATTACTAATTGGCATCATTCGATTTTTCGGCTTTTAACATCACCTATCGAACTATTTAGTGATTGATATTTTGTTCAAGGGAGCCATTTTATGATCAAACTTCGTTCTTCGATTTTCAGCTTTCTATCTCAATCTAATTTTAAATTAATTCAAGATTTTTTGAATTTAATTATAGTTTTTTAATTAATCATTAACATTCTAATTATAAAATAAAGTACTGAATGTTTATTCTTAATTAAAATTTTATAATAATTATATCTTTTCATGGGACATTAAAGTCTTTACGAGTTTTATGTTCCTGCAATGAATATTTTACAAACTCTTTTGAGAATAGTTTTGACTTACTTTCTGTTCATTTATTAGAATACATTTGTAATATATTTATTAGAATGCACATTACATGTATACGCATTTATTCGAATATTTATGCATTATTTGCTGTCTTTATTTCATTACAGTACTGTTTTTTTCAGGCTTAATTTTAATTTTTTACAGATATGTAAAAATGAAGCTCGATGCATATAAATGATGTATACATATGAGGCTTAACAGCTGGATTTAACAGTTGAAAAAAGAGAAATTGTTTGGGCTGAAATTCCATACATGAGATTCTGATGCATCTGAATACAAAATATGCAAAACCATAAAACTATGAATCCAAAAATACTGCATTTGAGAAAATTAATAAAACATTTAAATAATTTCATTCTAAATGTAGTTTGCATTTTGATATTTTTGAATGATATTTATGTATAAAAATTATATATTTTATTACTCTTCATGTTTTTATGATATAATTGTTGCTCTCAAAGTATCATAAATTATGTACTAAATCCTGACGAAACTTTAAAGTCCGAAATTAAAAATTTTATGGAAAAGTTAGAAAATAATATTGAATATTAAAAAAATCTTTGTTAAAATGTAAAATAGCCATTAAACATTTTTACATATTTTTTATATTTTGTTTTATAATTTGGTCAATAAAGGTTAAAAATTTGAGTGCTCTAGCTAATCTTTAAGTGTTCGTAATTTTAATTAACAATAAATTATCTCCGATTATAACATCACAATAAATTCTGCTTGTAGAGGTCTGCAAATGATTGGAATGTGCATTGTTATCCAGTACTGAGCTTTAGTTAAAATGTTGGTGCTCTAACTTGTTGAAAAAAAGCCAACACTTCGTCAGCAAGATTCTAACATTACAGACACGTAAGCAAGATAATGGAAACAAAGTAAAATTTACAAACAATACTTGTTTTTTTGTAATTAATTGCGAATCAAAAAGAAATTAAAACCCAGTTCGGTATCAAATGAACGTAAATATAAGCAAAAACATTCAGCGTTTTAGTCCTCTTGAAACTTATAATTTTGTAAGCAGCTAACAAGAATACCAGCAATCAAAGTTCTTTATGTAATTACGGTCACAATTTATCTTATGATCTTAAATTTAAATAATACAACCAATTACTTTTTTTTAGTTCTTGATCTCGTTTTTTTTCATTTAAATTATTTCTTGATTTATCATTTATATAATTTCCGACTTTATTTTTCATAAGCAGTTAAAAAATAAGTTAAGTACAGAATACTCTGCTTATAAAAAATTTCATAATATTAAAAATTGCAATAATCATTCACATTTTTTATTGGAAATTCCCTTGATCCATCGAAATAAATGACCAAATTCATAGAATAGTGAAGGAGTACTGTGAACTAAAAACAATACAAAAGTAAAAATATTTTGAACCAAAAAGATAACAAGATTGTGTTAACAGCGTACATTTTAGCACCCCTTTTTGTGACGATTTTATAACTGAACAGAAACGTTGTTTTAATAAAACAATACCTTTCTTAACAAACAGAAAATGACCATTATTTGAGTACGATAACCTTATTTTTGTTTTGCTTATTTTCAAAAATAACAACCGATGTTCTGAGAGAAGACATATAAAAATGTCACAAAGTAAAAGAAAAATAACTCATAAAACGTGTACAATAACGTGTTTTTACTCTTTTTTCCCCCTCGGTGAAAATTTTTCTTTTTTTTTCAGTTGCTTCTTCGAACAATTCAACTTTTCCCAAGACTTGAAATGTTGCCAAATTGAGAGGAGTAATTATATTTTTTTCTTGCATTCTTCAATGTTTTTATACGGAGACCAAAAGGAATTTTGTCACGCTGTGTTCCTAGGAAATAATAAAAAAAATGGGGCTTTAGAAATGTTTGTATAGAACATTTTACCCAGTTGGTATTTAAAGAATTTTTCTTCTCTCTTATAATTTAATGAACAGGGAAAACGTTGTAAGAAAAAAAGAGTTAAAACATCGGTTAATATGTAAACAGCTCGCCTTTTTTCTCGTTAATTTTGTGTTTTCAACTTGTTTCGCTTTTGTATTTTTTTCACACCACTAGCAATTAAAATCGTAATGTTTGAAGGAATTATTTTTAAAAGCGCTCAATAAAATGCTTTAATTCTTATATTTCTTGCTTTATGACTTGTATCATTACTTTTGCAATTATTTTCAATAAAGTATGCTATCTTTTCAATTAAAATTAATTTAAATAGCGCAAAAAATAGAATGTCTTTTTTGCTATTTATAAAGCATTTGATTTTTTTAGTAGAAAAATAACGATTTCATTTTTTTTTGTTTGTTAAATCTTCCTGATGAAGTTAATTTAAATATCGTGAATCTGATAACGTCAAGAAATATATTGTATGTAGTTTAGTAACATCTGAAATCTTGTATTTTTTTTAAAAATGAAACATTAGTGATAATTTTTATTTTTGATTTCTTTAAAATTAATTTAAATGAATGCTTTATATATACGTATAAATATAATATCCTAGTCAGTAAGAAAATCAGGTCAGCTTTGAAACAAATATGTCTGAAAACTGTAGTATCAGCGAGACTGTTTAACTTATACCGTAAATTGTACGAAAAAATGGTTAAGATTGGCCATTTGCCATCATGTACTTAACGTACATCATGTACTTTGAGCCACCAAAGAGTTTTACGTCCCTGCTTCTCAGATAACAAAGGTTTATGTCCACTCTCAACCACCAAAGGCTTAGACTTCCTTGTCGTATGCCTGTCCTCAACTACCAAAGCTTTTTCTGTCCCTGATATATGTCTGCTCTCAGGCACCTAAGATTTTCCAGTCCTTATTGTATGTCTGCTCTCAGCCACCAGAAGTTGTTACATGTCTGGAATATGTATACTTTCGTTCAGGTTTATGCATCTCTGTCGTATGTCAGCTTTCAGCCACTAATGGTTTCAACGTTCCTGTGATATGTTTTCTCTCAGCCACTGCAGCAAGGAATAATACTGATTTTTTAGTAGTCAAAACTACTATAAGACGACTTTCGCTTAAGTCGATGACCATTGGAGATATATGAAATTCAAAATAATACTTCACAACTCGAATTTTGGCTCAATAGCATTTTCTAATTAAACTAGTATTTATTTTTTCCTTATCCTGCATTATATGCTCGTCCAACAAAAATTAATTTCATTTGGAATGTATATTATACGAAAACCTTGGGAAAATTTTATATTTTAAATTGCCTATATATTATATTATATATATAGTATATATATATAATATTTATTGTATCGTTTATATTATATTTATACTTTTTATACCATAACTTGTGAACATCATTAATGCTCAACGTCGATTGGAGATCTTCCTTGATATTAGGCAGCTACGTTTGTATAAAGTTCGGACTTTTGCTATTTGACGTTGTGTCCTATTGCCTTTTCTTCCCTTTATTTCTTTAAATCCATTATGGGCCTTGACTTTTTGCAATGTTGTTCGAAACTTTCATGTTTACCTGTCATAACAGTCTTCCTGGTATGCTCAACCACTTACCAGGAAGGCCAGGATGTTTCTGTTGGTCAGATTTCGTCTCTCCTCCAGCCTGTCCAGCTAGGGGGGGGTGTTCTCCTAGTACGTAGCTCTCGGGATGAACAACACACACAAACACAGCACCGTGATAAGGTAGGAACATGTGTTATATTAATGTCATTCTTAGTTATTAATAACTAAGTAACGTACCAAAATGATTTTTTTTTACCGAGCAAAAATTATTGAGTTATTTGAAAATTTTCTATTATGTTTCAATCGCTAGAGAGATTTAGATTTGAATTGAATTTTAATGGAAACCATATTGGAATTTTTTTTTTCAGTATGCACAATCTGATTGTGATTGTTTGCTGCGTTTATCGGCGTATTAATTTGCGTTTCTCAGCCGCTTTCTTCTCCTGATTTCAACCTTTGTGAATTATTTTCATCGAGCTATATTAAGCACACATTTTACACATGTGACCCCAAAATTATCTCTGAGAACCATCGTTCCTTAAATGAGTTTTACCTATTATAGAGAGTCACATCACAGCGATCTATAGCAAGCATATTAAGCATTCCATATTATTGTCTGGAGATTTTAAAAATTTGCATAAAATTTTTTTTAAGCAGTAGAGTTTGTAATTTCAATTTTCATTTCTTATAGCTCGATAATTAATGAATTGATGACTCATTATTTACGAGATCAAGACTCTTTTCCATCCCCTTAGATAAAATATTCAGGCAATTTTACAAGAAATACTGGAATTCAATGTATAAAAGAAATCTGCATTTTTTCTTTCAAAAGATTACAAAAGAAAGTTAAGATTTACCTGCCTAGATTGTATTTGTGAAGCGTAGAGCGATTTGAGGAATATTGATTGACCTTCTACCCTTATACCATCTTTTCGAATTTTTAAATTTCCCATACCATCCTGTGGAGAAAAAACAAATAAGATAAAAGAGCACAATTTCAATAATTATGAGCAATCAACAAAATTCACAAAATTATCATTACACTATACGATTGCTATTAGTACATAGGATTATTTTTTTTTATTCATTATTATTTCAGAAACTTTTTTTTTTTAAAAAAAAACATATTTTTTATTTGTTTTTAAATGCATGAAATTGCAATCCAAATAAACATACAGAAGAAGAATCAATTTTTGATCACAATGTTTTAGGTGGACTAGAATGACAATCTTCACCATGTAAGCAAATCATCAACTGCTAATCGTTCTTAGAAAACATGTGTAGTGGGCAGTTTCAAAATAATTTCAATCTAAATGCTGATCTTTCAGCCTGTTATTGGTTTCAATTTTGTGTTCTTTGATCTGTAGTTTTTTTATTATTAATATAGCACTAATTATACTAATTGGTCAATGTTTTTAGAAACAGCCATGAAATTCCCAATGATAGATATAATCTTAGATAATTGTTAATTAGTTAAGACTTTTTTAATTTTTTTTCGTGAAACCTTTTTAAATTAAATCAATGAACTCAGAGAGGCATTAAAATATCAAAATGGGAATGATATACTTTTCATTCTAAAATAACGGTGGACTAATTAGCAGCAGTTTACAATTCCAATGTCATCATAACCATAAACCATGAAGTTAATGATTAAAATCTGCTATTTTTTTATCTTTACGGATTTCAAACCGTTTACAACTGGTACAGTTAAAAAACAATGACTACAAAGAAATACATTTTTGCAACCATTTACAACCAACATGGTTTCAAGATCGCAAAAATGAAATTAAAGTAAATAATTCCGTTAAAATATGTAAAGCTTTACGCTAGGTAAAGGGAAAAAGAATTAGGTTGTGATCGAGTTATTTTTTATCAAGTGAACCATTGAATGTGTCTTAATTAGTTTACTAGTAGTACCATCTATTGAGGTAAATGTGAAAGATATGACTTTTTTGTGTTAAACTGCTCCTCTGTGGTGCTGTCATCTATGCATGACTGAATAGTTTCGTATTTCAACAGTCCAGAGTCATCATTTAAGGGGTGTAGGAAACTGGAAACTCCTTATTTGTTGCAGGAATTAAGGAAGTATTGTGGCATCAAGGCTGGGATATGAACTCTCGTTCAGTCGACCATGAGATTGATACATTAGCTCTCTCGGTTAAAGTATGCACCCAGTTGCACGAAACTGCATGGCTTAATAAGGTGTTCATCACACACTTATTTCTATAAAAATATTCGACATCAGCAGCTGTGTTGTGTATCCCTTGAAGGAAAATAATGGTATCTGCTGTTGATAATAAGTCCAAACATATGGCTTGGTTTCCAACTTTCAAAGAACTTTGTATCCAGTTTTCGAGTTGAAAGTTTGAATGCCACCTCCTTTATGTTTATTTTAAAGTTTTCGTTGAATATGGTAAAATAAAATGTAAATAAATTGTTCGTTAACTATTTTTCCGAGAAATTTCTAACAATATAGAAAACATCGGGACATACTTTAATGACTTTTAGCTTAAGGACATGAGTAATGTTTTTGTTAATTTCGCAATTCATTTTAAATATTGTATATGAACTGAAAGCTATTCTTAATCACTTATTTTAGGTAAATTTTATTTTAGGTTAAGCATTGTTTCAAAGGGGCAATATAAATACTATATGATCCCGCTTAATTCTAACAATAAAAATTTTTTCAAAAATTGAGTTCTTTCCTCTTTAACTATGCTTTTAAGAAATTAGTTCAACTTAGAACCTAAATGTCGGTATCTTGGTTTTAAGTTTAAGCATTCCGTACCAAGTTATTCCATTTTATCATGTAAACAAACTTAAGATGAGTAATTGCAGTAGATAATACGTTTCAATTATGTACCCTATTAAAATTACAGCTGAACAATATTATAGTTGTTCAAAATGTTTAAAAGTTTTTCACGCGCACTTACCATAGTAAAATCTAAAACTTTGATGATCCATACGGTGAGAGAAAGATTAATAACAACTAATGAACCAAGTAGTATGATTAAGAAATATAAACAACGTTTTCTCCATCCATAGATTCCTATCCGGAAGAGACAGTGGCTAAAGTAAGGATCGAGACATACTTCTTGAGTGTTGCTTTGATTCTGGCAACCTTCATCTCCATTCCATTCAGGAATATGATGAGAAGAAATTCCTAATGGATGGGCTGTTGCCATTCTGAAAAAAATAAAAATCTTTTAATATTTTTTACTTTATTTTACTTTCACTTTAGCATTATTAACATGTTGTTGTTGTCTTAGTTCATTTACGTTGCACTAGAGCTGCACAATGGTCTATTTTATTTAAATTTTATAATCGTCGGTGAACAGCCGACCCGATTTTCGGTTTTACGACTGCTAGTGTTCAACTCCGTAGCCTTGAAATTTTGAACCCAATCCAGAAGACAAGGGAACTCCTGGATCAAGTATCGGGAGAAATTTATCTTCTTGGAAGACTTTTTGATAGAACTAACCCGTATTTACGTTGCAGGGAAAGGATGACCACGAGAACCTCCCACCGTTAGCCAGATAACAAAGGGACTCTAACCCATGATCCGTGTACCACTGCGGATATTTCACGTCAGCACTGCGGTTGATGCAAGCCGGATGAGGATTCATATCGACTAGCTATCGCTGGGATTCGAACCAGGTTCACCTCATTGAAAGGCGAACGCTCGATCTCCTGAGCCATCGCAGCTCACAATGGGCTATTGGCGAAGGTGTGGGAAACATCCCAGATGATGATCAAAAGACTTTCAGTCACAATTTTGATCCTCTGCAGAAGGAATGGCTCCTCAGCTTTGGTAGCCCGACGACCTGCGCGCGAAGTCTAGCCTTTTACGGTAGAACAGTTTCACGGGGACCAATACCGTCCATTCTCGGATCCGACGCAGACTGATCGAAGGGGTCACCAAGTGCACACTGACAGCAGCCAGTGATCTTCGGTGATCTGCTGGAAGTCGTGTCTTAATGATCAGTCCACTGCGGGACCAGTATTAACATGAAATCCTACTATATATTCCTGACTTTCCGTGGTCAAGTGTTATATATGAAGCTTGGACAAACATGGAAGCATAAGTTTCAAAAGGCAACGAGTAAAAATAATAAGTATTTAAATCAAAAGTAATCAAGGAAAAGTTAATAGCCAGTTCTAAAAATTACGAGTAAATTGTACAGTTAAAAATACAAATATGAAATAAAAACAAATAAATAGCGAATAAGTACGACACTTAGAGAAAATTTGAAATCTTAAAGTAAAGTAAATTTGTCTCTAGCAGTTTATTTTTCCACATTTCTATTTCCAAGAAGTAAAAAGTGTTTCTTTAATATGAAGAAAAGCCAGACATAATTTATGTATGTTTAGTTGTCATTTCCATTTAAACAAAAGCAGATCAAAATGCACAGTGAGCAAAAAAAAAAGTATCTTAAAAATGATCGAATTTTCGCGTTCTTGAACTCAACTTAGGAACTATTAAACAGATTTCGCCCAAATTTTGCATTTTGAAAATTAAATTTGCATCCTAATAAATGATGTAAAGACTTGTAAACCTTTCAGATCAGCTATTAGTGAATAAAATAATAAAGCTTATAAATATTTACTGTAAGTTATATTTTGCGCGAAATTGTCTTTGGATAAATGAATTTTATAATTGTGTGCAAAATGTTTTCATTTCGCTTATAAATTTCTCAAGATATGGTGAAATACGCAAAAACAAATAGCGGAAATTATTCCACTTAGACAGTATTTAGTTTCTAGTTAATTTATAGATACAATTTCTTATGAAAGTAATATATTAAATGCCAAACATATCAAATTTAAAAATATCAAATTATTTAATTTAAAAAATATCTGAACAAAAGTTATTTTTCAAGGAAAAATTTAGAAAAATAATATTTAGAAACATTCTAATAAAAATAAAAGTAAGGAAAAATAATGTTTAGAAACATTCCTTTTCCTTTGTGGATTTGAAATTGTTTACATCTGGTATAAGCTTAAGAAACTATGAAAATAAAACTATACTGTTTCGTATCCATTTACAACTAACATGGCTTCAAAACCACAATAATAAAATTTCACTTGACATTGGAATTGGGTTATGTTAGGCTGCTTTTCATTAAGTAATGGGCATTGTAGTTAGTTTGTGGTTGAGTTATGTTTGTCAAATTAACCTTGGAATATGATTTAATTAATTTATCCAGTGGTGCCATTCATTGTTAGAAAGGGGGAACACTAAATATTTTGTGTTAAACAGCTTTGTGGTACTGTCATCTATGAATGAGAATTTCGTATACCAATAGTCTAGGGTTGCCAATTGAGAACTACATGATGCTGGAAACTCCTGATAACAGAAAAAAATACCGTGGTATCAACGCTGGGATTTCAAATCCCCTTTCAGCCGGTGGTGCGATTGATAGATAAGCCCTCTCAGCTAATCTGCTGTAACTATATCAGTAATTTATAACCATTAAAACAGAAGTATCAGTGACAGAATATAGTATCAGTGATGTAACATAAAAATAAAATGGTCTAACGCAATTTTCCATTATTGTTAGAGCATTTTATAAGCCGTAAAATCACATGACAGGATTCAGTTTTTCCACATTAATTTCCTTACATTTTTGGTTGTCATCAGGAAATCATTAGTAAAAGTCATGAAGAAATCGTTTTCTTACAAAATATTTTTGTTTATCTTAAATTTAAAGGTAGTTACTCATAATATTTATTTTTCTTATTCTACGCTGCAATTATTGATTTTTATTTTCTAGTTTAAGAGTTTAAAGCTGAAAGAGTTGTTTCTTCAATATAATGTAATTCTATGATATTACCTTAATGTGCTATATTTTAAGATAAATTTATTAAACGTTTAACAATTATTTTTATCTTTGGTGCAAATCACACTAATATAGTATTATAAATGACAGTTGGAAAAAATTCGTTAAATGATTAAGAGGTTCCATCAGCTTCATGCACAATGTGATGCATGCACAAATTGCGTTTAAAATACCAGATAAACGATGAAATTAAAATACGGTTATGCACTTACTAAATTTAAAATATAAGTGTTTAATGTTAAATAAAGCATGATTGCAAAATCAAAATTATTTGCATACACTAATTGATCTTAATAGAATCATCAGGGAACAGGTTGGACTTAGAAGTGGGCGGCAAAAGCGTGTAACAAACAGAATTTCTCTTAATAAATAGACTTTAAGTGAATAAATTCAACTTTCGTAGAAAAAACCGTTTTATGTCAGAAAACAACAATTATTGTGAAGCAAACCTCAGAATTGGAGAGCGCAGCAAACAGGGGGCTTATCCCAATGTGTTTAAAATTAATAAAATATAAATTTAGTTTCTTAACCATGCAAAAATGTAACACATAGATTCTAATTACTCTGATACAACTAAATATCTTTGTAAATATGCTTACTCATTAATTATCTTTGAGATTAAATATCTCGTGTTACATCGAGATATTCTTTTAACTGAACAATACAAAAATGTAACACACAGGTTCTAATTTCTCTGACACAATTTTTAATCTTTGAGATTAAATAACTCGTGTTATATCGAAGTATTATTTCCACTTTTATACTTATATTCCAGATGAAGTAACTTAATTTATTTTGCTATAAATTTTAAATGAATCAATAAGAACAGTATTTTTTTAAATCCATTGGATTAATTTTTTCTCAATTTTAAATGAATTGGTGGCAAATAAATTATAACAGGGGGGCATTGCCCCCTACACGCTACATCAGTCAGTCTCCTCTGATCTGCTTTCGTAGGATGGCTTTGCTATCTGTTCTCGCTGTGCTCGCATTGCACGTTAGCGTAATTCATTCTTGCATTGTATAAACGGTAATTGAGAATATTTTACTGCTACCATTGAGGATATTTTACGTCAGCACTGTGGTCGGTGCGAGCAGAGTGCCGGGTGCGGAATTCGTACCGACCAGTCATCACTTTGAATCGAACCCGGTTCACCTAATTGGAAGGCAAATACTCTAGCCCCTGAGCCACCACGGCTCATGAGAGTCATAATTTTAAAAAAATCTATCTTATTTGACGATGATGATGATGACTGACGGGAATTTTCGGACCTCTTTACTGTTTATCACTTATAGCTGGCCTATCAATTATATTAGGGTGAAGTGAATGGTTGGATGTATTTAACAGTACAAGGATACCCTTTAGGAATTGAATAAGGGATTGAAGTTTGTGATTATCTGAAGTGTCCATGGGTGATGAGAAGGACAGTGCCGCAAAACAAAGTTCGATTCGAAGTATGGTATGTTTTTGTTTTAAAAGTGGACATACGAGGAGGATATAGTGAATATCGGCTGAAGCGCCGCATCTGCATTTGGCGCTATCTATCTTATTTATTATTATTTTTTTCATGAATTATTTTTCAAATTTTGATTTCGATCCTTAGAGCTTTGTTTCTTTCCATTGCCAGCGCAAGAAAAAACTTTTCCTCAATTTTATCACGATTTAGTTATTAAGTTTTTTTAATGTATGTGAAAGTAAAGATTAAAAAAAATAAGAAAGGTTTTATTATATACTACAACTTTTTCTTCAAGAAAATAACTTCATCCAAAGAAGAACTATGAATTTTTGCTAGTTTTGAAATATTCTATCAGGAGCGTGACAACTGTAACTAACAAAGAGCGAATCGAGTTAAAAGCGAAAGGAATATTTCAACTCCCGCCAGAAGGAACCGTGTGAATATATTCTTACATCCTTTTGTTTCACGGGGATCGAATTTCCCTAATCAAAGATATACTGTCTTTTACCAAAGAAAAAAGAAACGGACTCAAAAGTGATAAAGTATTTTATTTTTCTTCTCATTCATTCATAGAATCGAATTTCATTTTTAAAATAAGAACAAAGAACAAACGATGCCGAAATAATAGAACAAAGAGCAAAATGATTAGAGGAGAGTTGAGATGATTAAAGAGGCGAGATCTTTTGGTCTTTCGTAATCACCAATTTATTTTTTCGAAACTTTTTTAACGGTGAGTTGGAATACCTCTGTGCAGTTAATAAAAAGTATTATTCGAAAGAGAAAATGGAATTCCGACCATTTTTCTTTTTTTTTTTTTTACTCTTCGCTCATTCTCGTTTTGTTTTTGTTTCACAGGAATGTGAGCAAAAATTTCGGAATTGATAAAAAT